TCCTAAACCCCAAATCCTAATTCCCAAATCCTAAACCCTAAATCCTAAACCCTAAATCCTGAACCCTAAATCCTAAACCCCAAATCCTAAACCCCAAATCCTAAACCCCAAATCCTAAACCCTAAATTCTAAACCCTAAATCCTAAACCCTAAATCCTAAACCCCTTTGCGCGGCCAGGCCTTGGTCAAACTGCCGCCGGGCTCCGATGCTCCCGAGCTGTGGCCTCTTGGCTCCTCCTTAGAAGTAGGCTGGCAACCCTAAACCCTAAACCCTTAACCCTGTAGCAGAGCCCTCCTGTTTTGTCTCAGACTTCTTTCCACCGTCTTAGGTTCCTCACCCGTCGAGCAATTGCTGTGCAGCGCAGTGACGTCGATGACGTTCCGTTCCACGCGGGCATCTGGGGCTTGGCCCGTGCTCTTCGCGCGGAGCGCCCGGACCTGAAGGTGGTTTGCTTGGACGTCGCAGACCTGGATCGGCTCTTCCAGGCTCGCTTCTCCGAGGATTTTTTGTAGTTCCTCGTCTAGAGCCAGTCAAAGGGTGTCATCCAAAGCTTCTGCAAGGGTGTCAGTGCCGGTCTCGTGGCTTCGCGGTCCGGCGCCGAGCCGGAAATCGCGGTGCGTGGAGGAGCCGGAGAGGCTCTGCAGCTTCTGGGCCCGAGGCTCAGCCTCTTTTCTGCTCCGAGGGGTCATCTCAGATCCTTCGCCACAGCCGCCTCAGCTGCGTTGATCCTTTTCGGAACTGGGCCGAGGACCCCGCCTGGTTGATTCCAGCATCCCGGAGCCAGAGGCCCTGAGCTTCGACACCGACAGCTGCCATGGGCTCAGTTCGCGACCTCGCATGTTGCAGCTTTTCGAAGTTCCGAGAAGGAGCATATTCCTCCATTGGACTTCCGTTTCACTCTTGTCCTCGGCCTTTCAGGTCACCTCTTCAGTGGTGGCACAGGCGGTCTCGGTCTTCTCTTCGCAGGGTGGCTGGCTGAACACGGTGTCAAGCACCTGGCGCTGATGTCGCGGTCTGGACGGATCCAAGACGAGTCTTTGCAGAAGCTCTTGGACAAGGCCTCCAAGTCCTCGAACGTGCAGATTTTCAAAGGAGACATTGGTAGTGAAGCAGACGTGGGAGAAGTTCTCGGGCAAGCGAACAAGACCCTGGCAACAGTGAAGGGCATTTGGCATGCTGCTGGGGTTTTGGATGATCATCTGATGGCCGATTTGACAATGGAGCACTTCGAGAAAGTGCTGCTCCCCAAGATTACGGGCACTCTGAACCTACACAACTCCTCCGCAAACAAAGGCTTGGAGTCAAAGCTGCAGCAGTTTGTCCTTTTCTCCTCCGTTGCGGCCATGATCGGAACCGCCGGACAGGGCAACTACTGTGCTGCAAACGCGTTCCTTTGCCTTGTGTAGCTTTCTGGTTAGAAGGGAACTGTGAAAACGACATCCTCGCGGTATGAGTCCCTGTCGTCTTTATGGGGATCTTGTAGATCCCGGTTACCAATCATCCAGTCCAACCTTCCCCACCTAGCTTCAGCAAGGTTCATGGACTCGTTTGCCAGCTATCGTCTCGCGCGCAACCTCCCGGCTGTGTCTGTGCAGTGGGGCCCATGGGCAGAGATCGGCATGGCCGCTCGCGTGGCTTGGACGCATAACTTCAGGATCAGAAGACTCGGGGGTTTGGGGTGACTAGACTTGAGGGCTCTGGCAAGGCCCAGCTAGGACTTGTCTGTACATACTTATCATATCTTATCATCCTTTTAGCTACGTATGTAAAAAATGAAACGAGTATACGTGTGCGTGTGTATATAGTTACTTAATATATATATATATATGTATATATATATATATATATATATATCTATATTTATGGGTATGCATGTACATATGTATATACATGTATATCTATAGATCGATAGGTATATCTATTGAGAGATAGATAGATCGATAGATCGATGGATAGATAGATGGATAGATGGACAGACGGCGGCAAAATATTATGGCAAAACTCGAGCTTCCACCCCAGGCTGGTACTTCCGAAAGTGTGGTGCTTCGTATCGGTTTGGCCGACGGCCTGAAAGCCATGGAGACTATTCTGGGTGCACAGCTTGGTGGCCACCTGAGTGGAGCGGCGGCTGTGGCTGGAGTGGCCCGCATCAAGTGGCGCTCCTTCCTGTCGCAGCTTCCAGAGGTTCCGTCCTTCCTGGAGAACTTCCAGCAGTATGCGCCAAAGGATGCCAAGAAGGGCGGCAGCCTGGTGGCCAAGGGCGCCGCGCCCTCCAAGGACCTGGTGAGAGCAGGCATTGAGAATGTGCTCAAGGAGGTCTTGGGAGACGACAGCCTTGATGATTTCAGCGCCCCGTTGATGGACATGGGCTTGGATTCCCTTGCAGCCGTGGAATTCCGCAACCGTGTCCAAGCCTCCTTTGAAGGTGTGCGGCTGAGCTCCACAGTGATGTTTGACTATCCCACGGTTGCAGACCTCACCGATTTCATCTTGTCCCAGTTTGCGCCGGAAGACGATGCTGCCGCCGTGGGTCTTGGAGACGTCGGTGGTGCTCTGCGGGAGCCCTTGTCCATGATTGGCCTCGCGGGTCGATATCCTGGCATGTCGGCTCACAACGATGTTTCCGAATTCTGGGCGTCCCTCTGCAGTGGCCGAGATCCCATTTCGCAGATTCCCATTGAGCGGTTCGATGTCGATGAGTTGTATGAGGAGGACCGGTCTGCGCCGGGGCGCGTGTATGTGCGCGAGGGTGGGTTCATCCCAGGCATCGAGGAGTTTGACGCGGCATTCTTCGGAATTGCAGAGCCTGAGGCTAGATCGATGGATACTCACCAGCGCCTGCAGACAGAGACTGCCTACGAAAGCTTCTACAATGCTGGCTTTACGAAGGAGACCCTCTCAAACGTGGAGTGTGGTGTTTTCATGGGTTGCTGCACCCTCACCGGCATCACAGTTGAGTATGAAGACATCGGGCCGTTTACCAACATTGGCTCTGGACTCTCTGGCATGTCCGGTAGAATTTCGCATGCACTTGGTCTTCGGGGCCCTTGCTTCACTATCGACACCGCCTGCTCAAGTACCTTGGTGGCTATGGACTGTGCGGTGCAAGCCTCGCGACTAGGCCGCCAGGAGCTGGCATGTGTGGCAGGGACGAACCTGCAGCTGCGCACAGACATGTGGGTCGGCTTCTGCAAGATGACTGGCCTGGCTGGTGACGGACGCTGCAAGACCTTTGATTCTTCTGCAGATGGCTTTGGCCGCTCAGAGGGCTCGGGCTCCGTGATCCTGCGCTTGGCCTCTGCGGCGCAGGCCAAGGGCGAGTCGGCCTTCGCCCTGACGAAGGGCAGCTGCGTGAACCAGGACGGGCGCAGCGCCACCATCACGGCACCCAGTGGCCCGGCCCAGCAGCGCGCCTTGAGCAACTCGCTCCGGGATTCGGAGCTCAAGGCTCTGGAGGTTTCGCTGGTGGAATGCCACGGAACCGGAACTGCACTTGGAGATCCGATTGAGGTGGGAGCGCAGGAGAAGATCTACGGCAAGGACCGTGCAGATCAGGACCAGCTCATTCTTGCGGCTGTGAAGTCGGTCATTGCTCACCTGGAGGGTGCAGCCGGCGTGGCAGGCCTCACCAAGCTGGTGAAGATGATGGAGCACAAGCAGGTGCCGCCGAACCTGCACCTGAAGAAGTTGAATCCAAATATCGATCTTTCCAACTTTGCCTGTACCATCCCCGACTGTGTCATTGACTGGAATCCCCCGGCCGGTGCCGTTCGCGTGGCCGGCGTCAGCTCCTTCGGCTTCTCGGGCACCAACTCGCACGTCAATCTCCAGGAGGCGCCCCAGGCGCGGACCTTTTGCGGGTTGCTGCGAGGGGGGGGGAAGCTAGGCAGAGCTGCCGCTTCAGAGAGCTAAGTGCTTCAGAAGGGTTTTCGGGGAGCATGTGGGAAGGCGATAGAGGTCCATCCTTCCTTGAAGCTTTTGAGTCCAAGTCAGGCCGAGCTCGATGCTGTGCTGCAAGCCGCCGCCGAGAGGTCCCCACTGGTCTGGTCTCGGAGCGACTTGTCTTACAAGGACTGGGCCAAGCAGCTTTGGTCCACCATTGCGTGGCAGCCGCTGCCGGCTAGCCAGGCTACTGTGGATTCCGCCGAAGACTGGCTGGTGCTAGGCGGAGGTGATCTCGTGTCGACAGCTACGAAGGCGGCCCTGCCGAAGGCCACGCACGTGGACATGAGGCGACTCGCAAGCGCAAAGGAGGCGGAGAAGCTGCTTTCCGAAAGGACCTGGCAGGTGCTGATCTTTGCAGAGCCCTTGGTTGCAGAAGACCCAAGGCTGGACGGCCCGACCTTGGCAGCTCTGCTGCGCTTGGTGCAGGCTCTTGCCCAAGAGAAGCGCTCCCTGAAGCTGGTGCTCATGTCTCTCGGCGCGCAGTCGGCCTCCTCCGGAGCCTCCGGAATCGGTCGTGGCTTGCTGGGTGCTTCGTGTTGGGGCTTCATGCGCTCCGTCCGTCTGGAAGTTCCTAGCCTGCAGCTGCGGACCGTGGACTTCACCACGGATGCAGATCTCTCCGACTTGCTGCCGACAGAGCTCGCGGCTGCCGGAGACTGGCCATCGGATGAGGAGAAAGCCGCCGAGGTGGCAGAGATCGCTTACATCCAAGGTGAGCGATGCACTCCAAGGCTTAAGCTAACACCTGTTACACCTGGCACGCACAAGTTGGAGCCAAATGGGAGCCACATGATCAGTGGCGGTTTCGGTGGCCTTGGCCTCTCAATAGCACAGGAGCTCGTTGACATGGGGGCTCAAAGCTTGATGCTGGTGTCACGCAGCGGGCGAGTCTCCGACGACGAGAAGTTGCAGCAGATGTTCAAAGAGCTCCAGGCATCTCCTGCGACAGTCCATGCATTGTCCTGCGACGTTGCCGATGCCACCAAGACGCGTGAGATGCTAAAGAAGACGAAGTCGATGGAGGTTCCTTTGCAAAGTGTGGTGCACGCCGCCGGCATCATCGACTTCTGCGAGCTCGGCAATCTGACGACGGAGAGCATGGACGCGGTCTTCAAGCCAAAGGTCTCGGGGGCCTGGAACCTGCACAGCGAGATCAGCTCGGGAGAAGTGGACCTGACAGCCTTCGTGCTCTTCTCCTCCGTCTCCTCCTTGGTAGGACTGTGCGAAGCTCAGCCGGTTGCTGTGTTTTGGGAGAGTCCGAGAGTCCATGAGAGTTGGAGCGCCGGATTGGATCAGGTCCTCCGGCATCACGTACTCGACGTCCAATGCCTATCTCGATGGTCTCAGCTTGTGGCGCCGCGCTGCCGGCTTGGCAGCGACCAGCTTGCAGAAGCTTGGCGCAAGAAGCCATGCAGGCTTGAGGGGCCGGAGGCTTGGTCGTGGACTGTAGGAGTGCTGAAATCTGAGGTGGGGTCCAGTTGCCGATGTCGGCATGGCGGCCAAGGGTGAAGCCCATGGTGCATCGGAGCCTTGGCAGATGTCACTCGAGGAAAGGTCTGCGGAAGCCGATGTCTAAGCCCGTGCGACCTGTGCTCCGAGGACTCGGCCCTAAAGCTGATCTCCCCCAAGCATGTCCGCAATGCATTCCACCGTGTGCTCGCGAAGCCTCGCCTGGCACTGCCTCCTGCGCTGCTCTTCGCGAGCCGCTTGCCTGCATTTGGCATTGCCCCCGTCCCCCGGCGCAAGCCCCTTTGCCCCCGCGCAGCGCGGCAAGCGCCTCGAGGCGCTTGCCGCGAAGCGGCCTTCAGCATCGAAGCCCTCATCTGATAAGCCTCAGGAGCTCTAAGTCCTGGAGCCTTCCAGCCCTGAGCCCAAGGGACTTATAACAGGGCGGGCTCGAAACTGTAGGTTACTTACAATGGCACCTCATCCTCCTCAACTGAGTGTCTAAGTCCCCTGATCCAGCAAGCCCCCAACCCACATGGCCTTAACCCTCAATCCCCAATGACAACCTACCTAGGACGTCGTGCTACTTACGATGATGATGATGACGATGATGATGATTATCACTCCTGTCACGAAACCTAGCTCTGTGGAGCTTGCGGGAGTTGTCGTTTACTATTCACTTAGGCAGTAGAGAACTAGATCAAAATTGCGTGCAGGACCTTATCTGGTCCGTTCACAACAGTTACAGGAGAGGGAAAGGGGGGGGGGGCCACCCCCGCGCCACCACGTAAATGATTGATTTAGAGCTAACAAGGAGTTATTGCTTACACAGGGACACTCCGACGCGCAATGAGGTCGGTCAAAGCACAACGAGTATCTGTATGTGTAAAGCAAAATATGCTATCACAAGCTTCGTGGCACTACATACATGCTTGCATCCACGCTGACCGAGCTCTGTCGACTCTGGTTCCTTTTATTGCCCTGGCTTTCGTGGCCTCTTCTCAAGTTATCTCGGCGGATGCGCTGGACCCACGGGTCGGCATTCCCACACCGAAAGCCTCGGATTCTAGCTCCTGACCGAGCGGACGTAACGCGGCCCTCGCGGCCGTGGCGTTGTGTGATAAGCGCATGCGTGCGCAAGATGAAGGTTGACCTCCTCTTTGGCTGAGTTGAAGAAGAAGATGGTTATCGCCTGTAATCATTATCAGGGCCATATCAGCTGTCAATGTTATTATCTTCAGTGGTGATGTTACCAGTATCATTGTTATTGTTGTTGTTATTGTCATTTACATTTCTATTCTTCGTCTGAATATTCTATCATCATCGTCATTCTTAATGTTGTTCTTATCTAAATATCTATCCATCTATCTATCCATCTATCTGTTTGTCTATTATCTATCTAGCTATCTATCTATTAATCTACCTACATACCTAGCTAGCTAGCTAGCTAGCTAGCTAGCTAGCTAGCTATCTCTCCTTGTCTGTCCGTCTGTCTATATATCTATTCATCTATCCATCTATCCAGCTATCTATCTATTTATCTAGCTAGCTATGTAATCATCCTGGTTTCTAATCTTACTGTTACTAAACCACAAACCCTAAATCCTGAACCTTTGTCTCACAAAGTGAGCTCAGGAGCCGATTGGTCTCGCTTCATGCAGCAGGTCGGAACCATCGTACCGGTCTTGGCCGACTCCAAGGCGGGAGCTAAAGGTTAAGGCTTTAGGGTTTAGGGTTCAGGGTCATTAGGGTGAGGGCTATATTTTTTAGGGTTTAGGGTGCTTTTGGGTTCGGGTTCAGGTCAAGGTTAAGGGTTTTGAGGCTTCAGTCCTTTGGGTTTGGCGTTATGGTAGTTTATGGTGCTCTTGGGTTATGGCTTAAGTTCAGGGTTCGTTTCGGTTAGAGTTTGGGGTTAAGGGTTTTAAGGCTTGGGGTTAAAGGCTTTCGAGCTGTTGGGCTTTTGGGTTAGGGCTTCAGGTTTCGGCTGGTAAGATTAGGGATTTGGGTTAGGATTTAGTGTGCTTCTGGATTAGATTTTAGGCTTATGGTCTTTAAGGCTTTAAGGCAGGCTGTTTGTTTAGGGTGTAGGGTGCTTTTGGTCGGGTTTAAGGTTTTGGGGTTTAGGATGCTTGGGCGCTACGGCTTGAGGGCGTTTGGGTTCGGGTTTAGGGTTTATGGTGCTTTTGGGTTAGGGTTTAGGGTTAAAGGGCGTTGGGGCTTGTAGGCTTTTGGCTTACGGTTGCGGAGTTTGAGCGCTTTTGGTTTAGGATTTCGGGCGAGGGTTAATGGATTTAGGCTTTAGGGCTGTTGGGGTAGGGTTTAGAGTGTACGGTGCTTTTGGGTAAGGGTTAGGGTTTAGTGGGGTTAAGGGCTTCAGGACTTTTGGGCTGGGGTTCGGGTTTAGGGTTGCGTGTTCAGAGCTAAATTCTGGGTCAGGGATTAGGGTTGGGGATCCTATTGTCAGGGCTTGCTAGCAGGTTTTCTTGAAGATACTATAAGGTTTGGGTTTAGGGTGTAAACAGAAAGCTGCTAAGGTTTAGGGTTTAGCGGGTAAGGGCCTTACGGTTTTTGGGTTTGGATGTTCACCTTGTCAGGACTCTTAGCCGCTTAGAGTTTTAGGGGTTACGGGCTTTGCAGGTTTGCAGCTTTGTGGGCCAGGGGGCTTTAGGTATCATGAATTTAGGGCTGTTGGCTTATCAGTTTAGGGCTGAGGGTCTTCCTTCAAGCATAAATTCCGAGCTTAGCGGGTTTGTGGTTTAGGGTGATGCCACTCGTAGCCATGCTATCGTAGAATGCTGATGGCCCTTTCGTAACAGCACACCCATAGACAACGGTCGTGATAAGAGTCGCAGTAACCGGAATGATGGCAGTATCCCATGTTTTAGCCGAGCCAATGACACAACAGTGCTAACAAGAATGGAGAATAGATTATTCATGGGCATAAGTCATATGTACTTGTAGCTAGCAATGACTATCAATCCTATCTCACTACTCCAGTTTCTAGTTCTATGCATAATTATCGTGTGAAGACCTCCTTAGGAGTCCTGGTTCGAGCACCGGTGGCCATGTCCTCAGCGCATAAGGCCCTCCCTTGAACCACCTGAAATCCCAGAGAAGCCCGCCACCTAAAGCCATCTGCCGCGCAAACCATAAGCCCCGAAACCCGAAGCCGCGCCATAAAGCCCAAACCCTGAGACCAGCACCCATGAACAATCAGGGACAGGGACATACCCATGTCACAAACGAACATAGGTTGCATTTAGGGTGAAGCGCTCAGCTTGTTCCATTCCCCCATTGTTCTTCGAAACCACTGAAGCAGTGATGACTCCTGGGTCCAGTGTGGAATGTGACCAAAATCTCGGGTTTACTGAGCCATTGCCATTGTAAGTAGAAAAATTCATCTCGCTCCCTGCTGCAGAGCTCCAGCCGAAACCCTTAGGAGTAGTAGTAGTAGTAGTAGTAGTAGTAGTAGTAGTAGTAGTAGTGGTAGTGGTAGTAGCAGTAGTAGCAGCAGCAGTAGTCGGAGTAGTTGTAGTAGTAGTAGTAGTAGTAGTAGTAGTAGCAGCAACGAAATCATGGGGAACTGAATAATTAGACTGGGGTTTTGGGGTGCAGTACAGCTTTCGGGGTGCATTACAGAAATTACAGCAGAACTAAATCTGGATTGTTACGGGGATACGACTTCCAATTCAGACACTATGCCCAAGCCAGGCCAGCAGCTCCGTGGCGGCTCCCAGTGCCCTCTTGGCGGCCCTTGAGGGCTTGTCCCCGGAGGCAGTGCAGAGCCCCTTGGCGGCTGTGAGGGGTTCAGGAAAGCAGGCTTCGGGGTTCAGGGTTTGGGTTGTGCAAGAGGGCAATCTCGCATTGCTGGCGAAGTCACCCAACCAACCTGGCTCTCTGGGTTTCAATCCGAAGAACTGAGAACTGAGCAATCGGTCCTTGAATTAAGAGCTGCGCGTCAGAAACTGCGCATGGGAAACCAGCGCACTTCGGAAACCGCACAGTGGAAACCGACGCACATGGGAAATTGCGCATTGGAAACCGACACTGCGCATCGAAAACTGCGCAGGGCAATCCGATGATGACGTCTATCCCGAACGATGATAACGTCCATGCGGCCAGTGCATCCACTCCAGCGCATCCACTCCCAAAAGCATCCATGCCCGAACCATAGTAATGTCCATGTCGCCAGTGCATCCAGAACCGAGAGCATGCATGTCCGCACGATGTCCAGAACAGGGATCAAAGCGAGGCCAGCATCTTCACTGAGAAGTACCGGTTCTGGTTTCCGAATCAGCCGTTCTGGTTTTCGATTCAGCCGTTCTGTTTGCAAGTTCTGTTACCAGATTTTCGGTCGACCGTTTCAATTCCCAGTTTTGTCTTGCATGTGTCACGGCAGCAGAATCTCGAACAACAACACAATTTTGCGAAGCGAGTCCTAGGCATTCAGGCGCAATCCAGCCCAAAAATCGTGAACCCTGGTCCTCACACAGAACACCAATTCCAACCAATCCTTCATCATTCATTCAGCTGCGTGGACCGTGGCGCAATACCGACCGCAGTCCTAGATAGTCACTTGGCCACCTCTCCCATGCCTTTCTTTGCAAGTAATAAACCAGTACTGAGCATTGAAGTCCAAGCCAGGGAGCCGAACATCCCCCAACCTCCACTCCCAGCAAAGGCAAGCTGACAGCGACAGTCTTGGACGTGGCCCAGGGCGTCTTGGGAGAGACCTTGGAAGAAGATGCCCCCCTCATGGAGGCTGGCTTGGACTCGCTCTCCGCGGTGGACTTCAGAAACCAGGCCTGGCTGTTCATAAACTTGCAAAACCCAAGTGGGGGGTTTCCGAAAATAGGGGACCCTGATATGGTACCCTAGATAGTAGGATCCTTATTATAAGGACACCAAAATAAGGTACCGATGATTTTCAGAAACTCCCAAGTGGTGACGGTAATCTCAGATGCGATGGTGATGATGGTGATGACCCTATCAGGTGGCAAAGCAGTTGCCAGGACTGAAGCTGCCAAACACGTGCCTTGGCTTGTTTGGTACCGGAGGTTCGTGCGACTGGGTCTCAACTTACACACCAGAACTTGCCGTAAAGGTAGCCAGAGCCAAAGTTTTCGAGATGTCGGACACAAATCTTTTGCTCAAGCCTTGGCCGAGCTCATTGCATGCCAAGGCTGATGTTTGACTATCCCAGCCCGGGTGCCATTGCAAAATACGCTGCGGCTCAGCTGGCACCATCTGCTGCACCAGCACCGCCTGTCATCCGTGCACCGGTGGCAGACGAGAGGGGTCCGCTCGCAGCTTTGTCTACTGCATGCCACTTCCCTGCTGATGGGGATGATTCCCAGACGTTCTGGGCAGCCTTGGTCAATAAAACAGACGGCGTCACCGAGATTCCTTACGATCGATGGGACGTGGACGAGTACTATGATCCTGCTCCCAACACGCTTGGACGAATGTATGTTCGTCATGCTGCATTCGTGAAGAATGCTGAGTGCTTTGATGCCGCGCTGTTCAGTATCTCGGGCGCAGAGGCCGGCTTTGTTTCGCCATGTGCTGGCTGAACATATAATTACTTCGTTGCTACAATTGCATGCATAAGCTTCGTTGGCCAAGCTAAGACTGCACGTGCTTCCGACTAAAGGCAAAGCTGTTGCAGCATGCTCTCTTTGCCTGGCGGAGGCTGCGAGCATGGACCCCCAGCAGCGACTCCTGTTGGAGATCGTTCAGGAAGGGTTCCATGCCGCCAAGTCGCTGCTCAGCATCGGAGGCGCAACATCACCGCTCAGTACGAAGGACACCTGTAGTGCTTGATGGCAGAGCATCTGCTGAGGGTTCGATCTCATCCCAGTGCAGCCCTTGCAGTTGCTTCTTCGGCATTTAGCTAGCATGGAAAACTTGCCATCGTTCTCCAAACATGTATTGGGTGCTTTTGGTGCTCAGAAGCGAGATTGTCGAGTTGTGGAAGAGCAGAGCCAGCAACATGCAATGTGCTTAAGCTCCGACATGTTCCTGCTTCGGTTCCTTGCGTGCAATCCTCATGCTGTAACTCTGCTGCAGGACATCGGAAGTTTCGTCGGTGAGTGCAACAATGCCTCTTGGTTGCCGTTTCAGGTGCACATTACGTTTCGAGTCGAATTTCGGACCCTGGGCCCAGGACTGGGGCCACTTCAAGAATCTCGAGACTGAGAAGATGAACCCTTTCAGTGGCACGGGCGGTTCCATGTCCATCTCCTCGAATCGCCTTGCGTACGTCTTCGGCTTCAAAGGCCCGAGTGTCACCTCCGATACGGCTTGCTCCTCATCGCTGATCGCCCTGGACATTGCTGCTGCAAACATCGGGCGAAGTCGTTGCATGGCGGCGGTGTCAGCCGGTGTGAACATGAATCTGCTGCCCGGGCCATTCGTGGCATGCTGCCAGGCCCGCATGCTTTCAGAAGGCGGCCGATGCAAGACCTTCGATGCCTCTGCAGATGGCTATTCTCGGGGCGAGGGCGCGGGAACTGTCCTCGTGCGGCGCCTCTCAGATCTCGGAGACATGAGCGCAGCTGCCGTGAGTGGCACAGCAGCGAACCAGGACGGCAGGAGCTCCTCCCTGACGGCTCCAAACGGCCCTGCACAGCAAGACGTGATTCAGACTGCTTGGGCCGAGGCCGGCCTTGCACCAAGTGCCGCGGACTTCATCGAGACGCACGGCACCGGCACCGGCCTGGGGGATCCTATTGAAGTCGGATCTCTATGCAACACCATGGGCCAGAACCGCAGCACTGCTCCTTGACTGAGGGATGTCTTGCAAGGACGTGGTGGCTGTCATGACTCCTGCACCCGAGGCTTTGCAGGTGGGAGCCGTGAAGACCAATGCCCGGCACTCAAAGAAACAGTCCGCAGATGCGCAAGAGATCGCAGAGATGCCAAATGCCGCCAGCTGAAAACCTCATGAGGACAGCTTCAAGCCCCAAACCCTAGCGGTAGAAACTCCAAGGTGAGCCACCTGGAGGGCGCGGCGGGCATCGCCGGTCTCCTGAAGGCTTTGTCGGCCATGGTCCACAGCCAAGTGCCCCCAAACCTTCACTTGGCCAGCCTGAACCCCCACATGGATATCGAAGATGTGAAATTCAGCTTCCCTACGGAAGCCGTGGTGGAGCTCTCCCGGGAGACGCTTCGCACGTTTGGGCTGTCTTCCTTCGGATTCGGTGCCGCGGCCAGTGAAGACTCCACTTCTTCTCCTTGTCTCCCGGACCCTAAACCCTAAACCCTTAACCCTAAACCCTAAACCCTAAACCCCGTAGCTTCCTGCGACTCTCAGGTGGCACGAACACGCACGTCACGGGCCTCGCACCGGCCGGGGAGAAGCAGCAGGAGCCTGCAGAGGACTGGCTGCATCCTGGGGCAGTGCTTGGGGCATCCTGGGGCCGTTTCCGGTGCCTGCTAGATTCTACTATAGGGGCCTTCATAGTTACCTGTATTATTTTTGGGGCTCCGTATCATAATTATACTATGGGGGACCCCAAAACCCGACTCCAATTATTAAGGCCCCTACATTCGATTCTAGATCTTGCCAGGACAAGATCGTCTTCAACCGCCAGCGGTTCGGTTGGTCTCAGACGAAGCACCCCTTGTCAGTGGCACCGCGCAAAGGCGCTCCCAGAAAGGGCTTAGGGTTTAGGGTATAGGGTTTAGGGTTTAGGGTTTAGTTTAAAGAAGTCGGAATTCCCTTTGAGGTGGACAGGGCGCATAGAAAGAGGTGCTTTGTATATAGGGTCGGTATAGGTATAGGCGGCACAGAGCGTGATAGTTGTTTAAACGTGTTTTTATGTTTGCCTTCTTCACCTGCATTCGCCTCGTGGAGAGCATGCACACTACACCCTGAACCCTCCACCCTAAACCTGAAGCCCTTTAACACCCCAAACCCCACATGCTAAACCCTAAACCCTAAACCCTAAACCCCTAAACCCTAAACCCTAAACCCCTAAACCCTAGACCCCAAACCCCTAAACCCCAAACCCCCAAACCCTAAACTCTCAACCCTGAAGCCTCTTCGCTCTGCTGCGGTGAGGTGGCGAGCCGGGACTTCAAGTCTTCTCCGCTCCGATCAAGGGCAAGGCCAGGGGGCGGGGGCGAAGGAGCTTAGAGTCTGCTCTAGGGCCTTTTAGGCTTTAGGGCGTTAGGACTGAGGGTCTTCTAGGGTTTGCGGGTTTAGGGTTTGGGGTTCTTTTGTTTTTTTTTGGGGGTTTGAGGGTTTGGGGCTTCGGGGTTTCGGATCCGGTGTCTCGCTGGGGTTCGGGGTTCGAGGTGTTTCAAGCCTTGAAGCCATCGAGACCTTGGTTCAGAACCTTGCCTTGGGAGGTTCTCGAACTCCTGTCGCACCACATCATCTACGGCGAGATCGTGGTTCCAGGACCGCCCCCGGATCCCCAGAACAACCACAGCCTCCTTGTGTCCGTCCGAACTGACCATGTCTTCACTGTTCACTGGCAGGTGCAACGTACATCGAGATGGTGATCGCAACGTCGGCTTTCCGCCTAGGCATGGAAGGCAGGCGCTTCGCGTTAGAGAACATCGGCTTCCAAAATCCCTTGGTGCTCCGGCCATCCAACGATGACAAGGCAGTCTAGGGGAATAGGGTTTAGGGGTTTAGGGTTTAGGGGTTTAGGGTTTAGGGCTTAGGGTTTAGGGTTTAGGAGGATGTTAGTCACACCGTCCGTGCAAGTTGATGAGCATTCTGGCGGCAGGTAAATCCAGAACTGAACCCTGGTGTGGATCTCTACTTGCAGATCCAGGAGCATGCGCTAAGCTCTACTTCTTCTTCGCATGCTCGCATATTGATGACGTGCATGCACAGTCTATCTCCGCTTATTCGTACCGATGCTTGTGCCATTCCTCCAAACGTCGACTTTCTTCATCATTGTTGACAACCGTGTGGATCTAGCACCGCTACAGATCTTGCGAGCCGCTTCCTCAAATCACCTTGACTCGCTGCGATCTTGCCATTTCAGGTTTTGGACTCGGAGTGAGGGCACAAGAGATTCGAGCTTGCAGGTTATTTGATAGAGAGACAGAGAGAAGGAGGGGATAAGGGATCGTTTAGGGTTGAGGATGTGTAGACTTATCTTCGATCAGAAGCACGGCAGGAGAATACTGGCCGCTGGTCCATGAGCAGCGTGGAGTCCGGCTCGTCCGACGTCATCAACACGCATGCTGAGGGCTCATTGAGCTTTCTGGGACCAAAGGCGGGGTGGGACAAAAGTTATCACCCGTTCTGACGATGCATGTTGTCCCATCCAACAGTGCCGCTGGTATTCTTCTAGAACCCAAACCTTAATTCCGAAATCTCAGGCCCGAAACCCCCAGCGCAAAACAACCTCGAATGCAACGTTTGGGGGCAGGGCTCCTCCAGTGCTGCCGAGCTTCGGCACCTGCCGCTTGAAGAGATCCGCTCTCGCTGTCCGGAGGAGGTTGAAGACTCCCGCATGTATGCGCCTCTCGCAGATTTTGATATATAAGAGCAACAAGAACAATAATCGGAGTAATCATGGTAGGTATACACGTTCTCCTTCTCTCTCTCTCTCTCATATATATATATATATACATACATGCATGCATGGATGACTGGTGAGAGCGCGAGGTTGACTCGGAGTACAGTAGCTGCGAAATTTACGCAGCCGGCGATCTTCCAAAATCTTAGCTGGGTTTCGGGCCTTCCAGAAGCTTGTAAGAACTTACGAACTTGCGATGTTAATCTTAGTCCTCTCACTCAGCCCAGGTGCCCTTTGCGAACATTGGCTTGCCTTTGCAGCCGCGCTTCCGCACAGTCCGCAGCATCAAGCGCTCCCAGGCCCCCCGAAGTTCATGTCCTCCTCGTAGCCCTCCCGGTTAAAGACCACCATCCTAGTACATCATAAGACAGTATATATAGTGTACCATAGTATAATGTGGTATATTTTTAGTATAGCATGGTATAGTATAGTCAATCCATATCGGCCGCTATCTTCATCGAGTCTCCACCTGCCGCGGTTCTTGCTGATCCTCCTCCCCAGCATCATGACCCTCCGTCAGCCCTGATCGTCGCGAAGCAATCGTTTCATGTCTGTGAGGTCAGAGTGCAGGTCTTGATGACAGTCCCTTGTGCCGCTGACGTCAATGCCACAGGACGAAATCATCGCATGGGTGGCCGCGCAAGAGGATGGCACCAATGCCGGCTTCATCTTTGGCGCCTTGGACAGTTCCAGGCTGTTCGGTAAAGACTCCGTGAGAGTTTAGTCCATGGCTTTGGCATGTCTGCCTTACCAAGGTCCGGCCGTCATCGACGGTAGCTTCCAGGTCCGATGCCAAAAGCTGTGATTCCCTACCTCCAGGCATCCAGGCTGTTGCCTATCTCCTGTCTGTGCTGAGGCCAGCTGCGCGTTCCAAAACTTGGAGGCCGACCGCAGTGTCGCCTTGGGGAGAAAGTCAGGAGGGTTCCAGAAAAACCCTAAACTCAAACACCAAGCGCCACACTCTAAACCCGGAGCCCTAAACCCTAAACCCTAAACCAACTTCGTCCTTGGGCTCCACGGCACTTCGGAAGGCGCTGCCCAGCCTCCGAATTCCGCTGTCCATCGACCGCGTGCAACTTCTGGGCCAGGGCTTTTCCCCCAAGGCCTGGCCCCGAGAGTTCCGCTGAAGGTAGGGGGGCCTTAACAAGTAGAATAGGGTTTTGGGGGGTTTCTTATGGTAATTATAGGGGGCCTTAATAAGTAGAATAGGGTTTTGGGGGGTTTCTTATGGTAATTACAGGGGGCCAGGGTTTTGGGGGGTTCCTTATTGTAATTGTAGTAGAATATAGCCCCAAACCCTAGTCTAATCATTAAGGCCCTTATGGCCTCCTTATCGCTGTTGTGCTGCGAACTGGCGCCTGGCTGCACTACTGTCGAGGTGCTATGTGGCGCCCTCTTGTGTTGCTCC